CAATTGCTTTTTATCTATCAAAATTAGCAAAGATTTTTAAGAATTATCTGTTGATGTAGGTAAAAAGAATCATAAGCTTTCACACACGGCTGCACAAAATGAAAACCGGCACCAAGTGCTGAAGGGCGCTTTGTCTGAGTGCGTCCGTTCGCTGGACCGTGACTGTCACCGACCAGGTGGCCCACGCCAGGCTGTGGCCTGCAGATGCTGCCACCTGCGAGCCTGTAGAATCAACACCTTATAAACCTCATATTTCTTAACCAAACTGTCCAACTTGTAAAAAGGAGGCATAAGCAATATACAGAAGTATGTGGAGACAAAAGTGTCCAATTTATGAGTATAAAATTCAAAACTCACTAAACAAACAGGAGTGGCTAAATAACTCGTGATAAATCTATATAACAGAATGTTGAATTACTGTCGAAATTCTATTAAACAAGGCATATAGTAGTATATTAAGTAAAAAGTATATACAACATAGTATATAATTTGCCCTATTTTATTTCATATCAAATCTGTAAATATTTGCTAAAAAGTAAAATACATACACACATTTAGAAACACAATTGTTTATAAATGATGGATTGTACATTATTTTAATTTCCTCTTACCACATTTTTGTATTCCTTTTTTATAATGTTCTATAGTGACTATGTGTTAAATATGTAATAAGCAAATAATTTTAGAAAGAAATTATAGAAAGATTTACTGTCTCTACCTCCTGGGAAAAACTTTAATTATATAACTGGCCACCATTTTAAAATTAGAATTCTACTGTGATTTTAAAGTTACAGTGTTTTCTTGGCCTTCAGCTGCACCTTGGCTTGTCTCACCACGGTACCACGTGCAGTTATGACTGGGAGTTAAATAAACAGGGTGCTCGGCAGTGAGCTGGTGACAACCCGTGCAGGACAGTTGTTCCTCAGACACGAGTGCCAGGCAGGGGCCGGCCACAGAGGGGCTGAAGGGCTCGTTAAAAGGGGGCGCCGGGAACCCGCTCTCGGTGCCCTGACATTACACAGTGGCCTGAGTCCAGCAACAGCCAAAGTTCTCCAAGTGCATTTGAGGAGAAGAATTTTTCAAAGGCTATTGTGTTGGGCAAGAACTTTCATTAACAGCTTTTGAAAATATTCATAGTTTTTTTGTGCTGGCTGGTGTGGCTCAGTGGACTGAGTGCCAGCCTATGAACTAAACGGTCGCTGGTTCAATTCCCAGCCAGGGCACAGGCCTGGGTTGCAGTCCAGGTCCCCAATGTAGGGGGAGGTGCAAGAGACAACCCACACATTGCTGTTTCCCTCCCTCTTTCCCCTTCCTTCCCCTCTCTAAAAATAATAAATAAAAAAATCTGAAAAAAATATTCATAGTTTTTTTTTTTAGTCAGTAGGTCCCGTTCTAGGAATCTACCCTTAAAAAATAAATTAAAAACATGCACAAAACTTATGTCCAAGAATGTCAGTGCAGTGGTTGTTTTTTCTTAATTGATTTTTTTACCAAAAAATATGGCTCTTTTAACAGGCAAATAATCCAGAGATTGACTTTTTTAATGTTAAGCAAGTATTTTCTCCGCACCTATATTCCCAAACACCTTCTATTTTGATCTTTCTGAAGTATTCAAAACAAAAAGGTAAGAGCAGTCTTTCCCTATCGATCATCTATCTAGTCATATACAAACACACACAGAGACTTACTTAAAACAATAACGTTCTGTAATTACAACTTGCTTTTTTTTACTCAACAGTATTCTGATGGGTATATTTCCAGATCAATATATTCTGATAGCTAATACCACTTAGCTATAAACTATATTTGTTAAATACTCAACTCTTTCCCATGGCAAACGATAAAGTTAACTTGCTCAGCCTTTATTTTATTTCTGTAAAATAGAAAAAATAGATTGCTAGATTAATGGTTGTATATACGGCAGAAAGTTTCAAAATCTGTCCACGTATTTTTCCTCTTCTGCATTTCCTTCTCCGTTGGAAAACCTCAGGCCCTTTTGGCCAGAGGCAGCCACTTTCTTCCTGGAGAGTTATAATTGTTACGGAAAAAAGGAAATAGAAAGAGGGTGTCAGTACTCAGCGTCCTCCGGCAAAATCAGGATTTTTGGAGACCAGGGGAATATGATCATTACAGAAATGATGAAAAAGAAAGGTGAACTCAGTATTCCCCTTCCCCGGCACTAGCAGGAAGTGGGGCCCACGGTTAGACAGCGGGACGGGCCTGTGGAGCCAGCGCAGGGTGGGGCGGCCCTTCAGCTGCGTGAGGCCTGGTGAGGCGCGGGGCGAACTGCGGCTCCGGCGGCCCCCGACGGCCTGGGCTCCCCGAGCCACAAGCCCACCCAGGATTCCGGCCGCACCTGCGTGTTTGAACCCAGAGCAGCCAGGTGGTTTGGGGCACAGACAAGCTTGTGTCCGCGGGCTATCCCAGCCCGGTGACTGAACAAAGGACTCGTCCTGCCCCGGCTTTCCCTCCGGGAAAGCGGGCCAGGAGCCTCAGCAGGATCCCTGACCGCAGCGCTCAGCTCTGCTGGCGGACCTCCCACACCACAGACTGGAAACCGCCACTGGCTCCAGAGAGCCAAGCCGTGGGTGGGGGAGGCGGGCCCCCCGCCTCCCAGTGGCCACGACCAGCCCCCTGCCCGGTCCTCTGCCCCCAGATTCCCCAGCGGGTGAGCGTCACTGAGCGGCAGGGCCCCAGCACCGCCCAGCTCTCCAGGCCCCCGATGGTGTGGAATATGCGCGTTGACGACAGGACCTGCCGCACGTTACTTTCATCTCCTACATGTTACCTTACGTATTGACTGTCTGTCGTGAACGGGAAAGACCTGACTGGTGTCCCCGACTCCTAGGCCTGCTGGTGTTTTTCTTCTTGCGCCTCCTGCAGGCTCTGCTGCGTGGACGTTAATACCCGTCACTGCATTTGGAGTGCAGCGCGCCCTGCAACGCCGAGGTGCCTTTTCTTTGTCTCACCTGATCCTGCCTTCCCAATAGTAAGATAAGACTGCTTTCTTCCTTTCTTTCCTTTTTTTTTTATTTTTATTTTTTTTCCTCACCGGAGGATATTTCCATTGATTTTAGAGAAAGAGTGGAACTGTAAGGGGAAGAGAAACATTGATTGGTGGCCTCCCATGTGCACCCCAACTGGGGACTGAACACAACGTAGGCATGTGCCTGAGCAGGAATCTAACGCACAACCTTGTGGTGTAGGGACAACACTCCAACCAGCTGAGCCACCCGGCCAAAGCCAGAGTCCTTTCTCTCTGTGTGTGCTGTCCTGCTACTGATCCGCGGTGTTTCACTTACGACCTCTACAAAGAAAGCTGTTCACGTGGGTCTCAGTGCCAGCATAGTTTATACTTCATGAGCCAACATGAAATTTTCATTGTAAATTGCAATTTTAGCCCATTTATATGCATTGATGGGGCAAATACACCGGACCTTCGCTCCGCCGGGATCTCGGTTTTCCCCAGCAGTTCCCTATGTGGGCCCTGTCTCCGCTGACCACAGCCTCCGGCCGCAGGTGTCCTGAACTCCTCACCAACCCTCGCCCCCTTCTCCTGAGGCTGGACAGCGTCCGATGGCACAGCAGTATTTTCCTCTTTCTCCCACCAACATCCACCTCTCCCGCCACCTTATTTTGGTAAAGTTTATTAGCCTTTAGGGTTTGCCTTTTCACTGGTAGATACCTTACGATTGCATTACTTGATTTTTCAGTTTTAAGAAAATAGTCTTTGCTTCTAGCAGTTTCACAGGGGCAATCGGAGCACTTACTATACCTGTCACTTCTTTCTCCTCCAATTTTTGATAGGAAGATTTTGCCTCTCATAATGCTGTGTCTTGAAAATCTTTCCTAGAGCCTTTACCTAATGTGCCTGTTCAGGGCTTGTGCTTCTGGGACGTGACTGTGAAAAACTGCATTTGCTAGGATGCCGATCATGTCCTCCAGTTGGGCTAATGTTCCACCATAAAGCTGTGTGTCACTTGAATAGGTACCTGTTTTCTACATGGAGAGAGCTTCCTCCATCAGACAACTGACTGCTCTGTGGTGGGCTGAACCCTGTTCCTTTGGAGCTACGGTGCTATCAGTGGGTAAACTCACAGGTCCCCACCCTTCAGCTTAGTTAGACCCCAATGACACCGAGTTTGTTGACAATGGTTCCTTCCAACTAGAGAGGAGAGGCAATTCCATCCCCAGCACGGCCCATCCGACGCCCACCCAGGTACGCTGCAGAGCAGCCCTGTGCTTCCCATGGCAAATACTGCATGCGGATCCTGTCTAAGACTTCCCACTGCAGTGGCCAGCTCTCTCTCTCTCTGTCACCATAGAAAACAGGGACCTACACTGGCTGTCTCTCCAAGAGATCCCTGCCATCTGTGTGTTCCAGAGCAGGAGCCCCGAGAGATGGCACCCCCGGTTCCCACAGCCCAGGTCTTTTCAGAGCTGCTCCGGCCTCCCCCAAAATTACCTTTACCTACAACAGGGGATAAAGCATAGTACCTCTGAGACCAAAGCTGACCCGTAAATGCCATTCCTGTCATAACGTCCAATCTCACTAGCTTCATTAAATTAAGGAGAGAAATATACAACTACGAGAATAAAATGAATGCAATCCACGCTTGGCATTTGTCAGCTGAACCTGTGACTTTCAGCTGTTGCTGACGCAGTGCACTGTCGTGAGAAGAGGGGTCCAGAGTGGACATGCACATGCGCCTTCAAGAGGAGGCCCCGCACGCACAACCACAGCAGCACGAGCTCTGTGCCCGTCGGCCCCGGCAGAGCCAGGTCACAGAAGGGAGCCGCACAGACTAGGCGAGACACCTGGGCAGGTGTCAGAGGTGGAGGAAGTGGGTTTTACCAGAGAGGAATGGATGGAGAGAGAAACTGGGAATTTAGAAATGCATGTCAACCACGCTCTCGTCAATCCTTTTTACACTTCTAACATCAAAGGAAACGGGTTAGGTTTATGTACAGGAAATCTGACATTACATTTCACATCTCACCTTGGAAGATCGGAAGGTAAATGCTGTTGACTTCACATCAGCTTTTTCTTTGTCCACCAGTAGAAGGTTTTTGTCTTCCATGAGGCTCAAGTACTTTCCCGTTGTGACATGGCGTAGTCGGAAAGGCTGGCCCCATCTTATGTGGCTTCCGCTCCACCTGGCAAAACAGGTCAGACTTGATCGCACGGCAGCCACAGAGCAGGTGAAATGCACGTGTCAGCAGCAAGCACAGGCGCTCTGCCTATGCCGCCTTATTTAATGTCCTCAAAAACCTTATGATGTTCGTGGTATTAATTCCAGTTCACAAGTAACAAGATGGTAATTCCAAATGACTACACAACGTTCAATGTTATGCAACGAACAGCAAATTGAAGTGAAATTTAACTCTGCATCCCCTGGCTTTAAATGCGATACCACCTGCACTCTACTCACTAGTGACAGACTCAGAAATTGTAAGTTTAAATGTGACTTTAGAATTTACTAGTTAAAAACTTCTGTTGGATTTGCACAGACTTGAAAAATAGTGGTATAGTCAATGCCTAATCATGATTAATTGGAATTCATATATTAGAATTCATATAAACTGAAGTTTATTTTTACTTGAAAAAATAAACAGATTCCTATGCTTTAAATTTAACACTGAAAAACAATTATCCATTAAAAACCAATGAACAGAAAAGACAAACCAAGAAAATGAGAACTATGAAAAGATCAAAAGGAAAAATATATAATAAACAGAAAATATAAACTAAGTTTACAGAAAAAAAGATAAAAGGCAAAGCTGTGATCATTATGATCCGCTTTTAAAAATAGTGGCTTTAAGATAGGGTGGAAAAGAAAAATCAAGTTATAAGCCACTCCCGCTTCACCCAGGGCTGTGTGGACCGGCAGCCGCACGAGTCTGGGCCACGGGCTTGCTGTGCAGCAGAGCGGAACAGCTTCTGACGCACAGGACTTTCAGGGAATGCAGTACCTTGCAAAGCAAGGACAGCCTCTTATCATTGATAAGAAACATGTTGACAATCAAATAATTTTTTAAAAAACTAAGAATAAGTGAGTAGAAAAAAATTACCATGCATATAAAATCACAGGAGACAGATGGCAATGTCAGTGTTAGACAGCTTGAGGCGAAGCATAAAGGAAATACTGCCAGGTGCTTTACAAAGAGGAAAGGTAAGTTCTAAAAGCAATGTGCGCAATGATCACTATATAATGCATCAAATAAATAAAAAGTAAAGATATGGAGGATTTCAATGTGATTTTATCAATTAATAAATTTGTTTTACTATAGAGTCATTAAAAACTACTGTAGTCTACAAATTGAGAGTTTGTTGGGTTTTTTTGTTTTTGTTGGGGTTTTTTTTTGCAAAACTTTCTATTTTAGTGAACTATAAGTCATTTTCATGCTGTGTTCCTAAACCAGTTTTTGAACTTGTGATACTAGCACTGAACATCGACAGTACCACAATATTGTAGTAAGTTCATCTGTACATGAATTTGTGCATAGAGACAATTACTTTGGACAAGTCCCCCAACTAAATTAGTAACCATGTACCAATACTGGTTAACCATGTACCAATGCAGGGCTGCAATAAACCCTGATAATAACTCCATGTGATCTTAAAAATAAAATTAAAGTTTGTTTTACCACAAGAGCTTGTTAAGGCATTTTGAGTCAGATAATAAATACGCTTTATTAATTCCCTTCTTCTAAAATGAAAGTGTGTTCTTTGCAAATGCTATGAAAAACATAATTATTTTTAATATTCATTTTCATGATTTGAAGAAGCATTTGAATACGTTTTTTCCAAACAATGGCCCAATCATCATAGCAAACAATGTCATTTTCAAAATAGTCAAAAATTTGAGCAAACCCAGGCTTTTCACCAGAATTTTAGAGGGCATTTTGCATACAGTGCTCAAAGCCATTTCACAGGCCTCTCGCAAGTCACTGGGGGAATCCTGTGAGAATAGAACGGGTTTGGCCACTTGCTGGCAAAACACTGTGAGGTTTAGGCACATTTTCTTCAGCTTATGGCACTCCGACTGCCTGGCCTCCTTTGCCCAGGGCCCAAAAGGAAAGAGGGCAAGCCCAGGAGAACTAAGCAGGAAGAAAATACTACTTAGTAAAAACTGAACATTGTAGCAGTAACGTAGTTATAAACAACAATTTCCTATGGTCACATAGAAAGCATAATTACTTCAAATCACCTCAAAGGAATGAGGGGCACCGGTCATTCTTTCTGATATGTCAACCTTTGATTTCGCTTATTCATAATGTAAGAAAGCAGAATTTGAAGTATACATAATGCATATTTTTAATTGCAATGATCATTCCCATTACAGAAACTAGTATATATCCTATTTACAAAGTTCTTACGACTTTGCATTGGGGTAAAATAGTAGACTAGGTCTCCTATTACATTTAACTCCTAATATTAAAACTTTATTAAAATGTTCATGATACTGACAAACTTTGGACAGCATTAAATTTATTTGTATAAGTGTGCAATTATAACAAATATATAGTTTAGGGCTTCATTAAAGAAAAAAATATAGACCATCCCAAATATTATAGCATAACTAATGACCTTTGGAAATCAAGTTCTATAATAAACATAAACAAGATTTTGACTATCATTTCCTAAGGATAAAAAAACTGAGGGGTTAAATTAAATACAATCTAATTTGTACATCTACAATAAACCCAAAGTAGTTAAAAGATTCAGCAGAATCTGAAAAAAAAAATCTTTAAAATATTGACACATTACCTGTGAGCCTCCTGCTTTCCCACTGTAGGCAGGAAGGCACAATGGCACCAACGGACCTCACAGCGTAGAACAGAAAGGCAGACTTTCACCTTTTAAATGGCTGCCAAGCCACCCGCTCTGCCTTCTGCCGCCACATCCCCTGCTGTCCCTGGTCACCTGGGTTCTGGGAGGCGGTCGGTGCGGACAGAAACTCTGTTGTGATGTACCCCACCACCCGGCTGGCCAGGAGGCCCTGGCCTGCCCTGTCTACGTAGCAGATGTTCCATTCAAAGCTCAAACCGACATCACTTTCTGTTTCCAACGTCACACATTAGGCCACAGATAAGAAATGGAGAGGTGCGCAGAATAATCAGATTTCTGTAATTACACTTCATCAACAATATTGTGAACAATAAAAGTGAAGACCTTCCAGGTGTTCAGGAGCCCTCATCCTTCCTTCTTTTTTTTTTTTAATCTAAAAACTGACAGATTTCTGATCAGGATGGCTGCATAGGTAAACACAGCTCCCCTCCTCACACGACCACACCAAAAATAGAACTAAATTATAGAACAACTATCACTCAGAACCATCAGAAGCTGAGTTGAATGGAAGTCTTGACAACTACACAATTAAAGAAACCACATCCATCCAGACTGGTAGGAGATGTGGAGATAGAGGACAGGCCAGTTCCACATCCACATGCAGTGGATAAAAATTCAGGAGGGATATCTTGGGACCAAGGAGTCCCAGCCCCATACCAGGCCCCCAGCCCAGGTTTTAGTGCCAGGAAGACAAGTCCTGGCTGCAAAAACCAGTGGGGACTGAGTTATGGAAGGAACTTCTGGAGCCCCAAGCAGTTCCTCTTAAAGAACCCACACATGGACTTGCTCCCTCTGAGCTCTAGCACCAGGGTGGCAGCTTGAAGGTCATCAGTAACATACAGGGAGGAACTGAAGTGTCTGGCATCAAGGCAAGAGCTGGGGACAGCTTTCCCTCTGACAGAAAGGTAGGCAGAGACAACTGTCCCTTTTCTGAACCCTCCCCCAAACAGAGCCACAGAGCTGGCAGTCGGTGCCATATCTGAGACTCCACCACATGGCGAACACTGTTTGCCCAGCCCTGGAGATCCCAAGTCCCCATCCCAGCCAACAATGACCCACACAAGCTGTTCACAGAAGCTTTTCCTTATGAATGGCTGCTCCTGACTCATGCTTCACAACTTACTAAATGCTCTCAAACAAGCAACAGCGGCCTCAGTGGGCCCCAGCCCTTATACCCCTTGCGAAGTGGCCCCAGCCCTGTCGCTAGCCGCGGCCAACCGAGGTTCCCAGCTTGGCTTCACCTGGGCACCTCCCAGCCCAGCACATGTAGCGGCCGTCTCAGATCGCTTCCTAGCCCAGGCAGGGTGGCCCAGACAAAACACAGGTTGGGGCTGACCGTGGTCTGTATCACCCAGGAAATCTCAGAGCCAGTTGTCCACTGGGTGCCCAGGAAACCTTGTCAGAGCACCACCATCCTGCCCCTGCACAGGTGATCCTCCATGGAGGGCTGAGGTTGGTGGTCAGTGGTCACCACCGGTCCTTGCAGCTGACTGGGCTGGGTAAATCCCTCCCATTGACCTTCCAACAGCAACCAAGCCCCAAATACATGAGGAGGGTGTACTCTGCCCACGCAAAGGGCACACCTCACATATCCAGCTTGAGTGATAGGGGAGACTGTGCCATTGGACCCTACAGGACACCTACTATATTAGGCCACACTATCAAGGCAGGGAGCCATAGCAGCTCTACCTAATACATAGAAACAAACACAAGGAGGCTGCCAAAATGATGATACAATGTAACATGGCCCAAATGAAAGAATGGATCAAAATGCCAGAAAAAGAACTAAACAAAAGGGATATAAGCAACCTATCAGTTGCAGAGTTCAAAACACTGGTTATAAGGATGCTCAAAGAACTTAGTAAAGACTTCAACAGCATAAAAAAGATCTACTCAGAAACAAAGTATTCACTAATTGAAATAAAGAACAATTTACAGGCAAACAACAGTAGAATGGATGAAGCCAAGAATCAAATAAAAGATTTGGAACATAAAGGAGCAAAATACAAGTAATCAGAACAACAAGAAGAAAAAAGAATCCAAAAAAACTAGGATTGTGTAAGCAGCCTCTGGGACAACTTCAAATATTCCAACATTCACATCATAGGGGTGCCAGAGGGAGAAGAGAAAGAGCAAGAAATCGGAAGTCTATTGGAAAAAATAATGAAAGAAAACTCCCTAATTTGGTGAAGGAAATAGACATGCAAGTCCAGGAGGCACAGAGAATCCCAAATAAGATGGATGCAAAGAGGCCCACTCCAAGATACATCATAATTAAAATGCCAAAGGTTAAAGACAAAGAGAGAATCTTCAAAGCAGAAAGAGAAAAGAAGTTAGTTACTTAAAGGGGAGTTCCCATAAGACTGTCAGCTGATTTCTAAAAGACATTTTGCAAGCTAGAAGGGATTGGCAAGAAACATTTATGGTCATGAAAAACAGGGACATGTAGCCAAGATTGTTCTACCCACCAAAGACATCATTTAGAATCAAAAGGCAGATAAAGAGCTTCCCAGATAAGAAAAAAATAAAGGAGTTCAGCATCACTACACCATTATTATATGAAATATCAAAGGGACTTATTTAAGAAAAAGATCAAAACTATCTTCAAAATAATAAAATGGCAGTAAATACATATCTATTAATAATTGAATCTAAAGAACAAACTAAGCAAACAAGAAGAACAGAGACAGAATCATAGACATGGAGAGCGTTTTGATGGTTGCCAGATGGAAGGGGAGTGTGGGGGATGGGTGAGGACGAGAGGGGAGTAAGAAGTACAACCAGGTAGAAACAGGACAGCCACGGGGAGGTAGTACAGCATGTGAAATGGAGCAGCCAAGGAACTTACTCACATGACCCAGGGACAGGAACAACGGTGGGGGGCTGCCTGAGGGGGCGGGGGCTTTTGGGTAGATGAGGGCAAAGGGGGAAAATTGGGACAACTATAATACCATAATCATTAAAATATAGTTAAAAACAAAAATAAGTAAAAACTGAGACAGATTCTGGACCTCATTTGCTCAAGAAAATTTCATTCCTTCAAGCACATGATCATGAACAGTGAGTGTATCTATAAATTTAAAAAATCTGGATTTTCTTCTTAAGGAAACAGACATCTAAACTTCACTTTTGTTGACTATGTCTTCTCTAATTATTGTAATGCACAAGGTATACATTTTTGTATACAAAATATACATTTTTATAATATACAAGGTAAAGGAAATGCATCTATATACTTACAACCCCTTTCCCTAAACTCTAAATTATGAAGCACATAAAAACTAGGAGTTTTTTTTCTTTCGCTTTATAAGTCCATCTCTTCTTTTCCATCTCATTAAGACATGTATTTCCAATAAAATTTTATCTTTAAGCTCAACATTTATCAGAAGTTTTAATATTAGGTGTATTTGATCAACTATTTATATAGGAGAAATGTTATGTCAATTAATAATTAACAGGGTTAAGATTGAAGAACTTTAAGTTATAAATATATGTCATAGGAAATATAAAAAATAAATTTAATTTATATACATATTTTTGTTACATAGAAGTATGAGTGAGCGGAAAAAGTTTTACAATAATAAGCATGACTGGTATAAAGTTATGTCATGAGAGACTGACATGAATATATTTTAATGAGAAAGAAGAGTAATATATAATATTTAATATTAAAGAAGACCACGCCAAAGTATTTTTAAATACATAAAATGGGATTAAATCACAGCAATACTTAGAGTCAGTGGTATGCTTTTAAAAGAATGATGTAACCATTTTAAAATGTCGCTACTTGTAATATATTGTAAGTTATATTCTGTGCATCTATTTAAAGTGATTCAAAAAGCCCTACATCAAACCTTACCATGTTCAAGGACATACAGTTATTCAAAATTATTGTCTGGGATTATAAGCAAAAACAACTGAAGAGCACTAAACTACATGAATCATCATTAAATAAGCATAAACCTCAAAATTACATCTACAAAGATAGCTATTCTATATTAAGATTTTTCCTTACACCCATCCATGGAGTCTATAATCCTAAGTCAATAATTTCTTTAAAGTATAATATAATGGAGAACAAATACATTGAAAACGGACTACTTTTTACATAAAGAACTGAACCTTATAATCATTTTAAAATCTATTTTAATTCTATTAAACATAGTTCAAAAGTGACACTTTTATTATCAATATTGCATTTATTTAAAGTAACTAAAAGTCAATCTCTGAACAGCTTTTTGAAATCACCAGATAAAAATACACACACATATATAAATTCCTATTTCTCCAATGAATACACCGTGACTTTGTATTACCACCCACATTGCTGACTCGGCTGTTATTTATAAGCAAGCACAGAAACTGCCAGTAATGATCCAGTGCTCTGGTTCATGTTCACCTTTCCTCCATTTTACATGTGCTTTTAGAGGTTCAATCCAGAGCCTGCCAGACCTGAAATGCACAACAGGCTTGTGTCTCCAAACCTCACGCCACTCTGTCGCAACAGCATTTTGTGTCTGGAGATGCGTTACAAAAACCAACAATGCTAAAGACAAAAGCAGGTTACCTACCACCTGGTGAACTGAGGTTCATAAAAGATGAATAACCGGGGTGGCGGGGAGAGGATCCCTCCACCCTCGGGCTCCCTCTGCTGGTCCATGGCGGCCGTGAGCATGGCCATCTCACACAGAGCCCAGTCAAAGGCGCTAGAAACGTCTCACACACTCAGGCTGCACTCAGACGCTCTACTCACGCGACTCGCAGCGTCTCTAGTCTCCACAGGGACCGTGCGTGCACGGACACGGCGCCGCCTTCGTAATGAACAGTCCTGCCAGAAAAAAAAAGGCCAACTTTAACATATGTCATTCTTGGACTCTACTTTTGAAGCTAATTAAAAAAAGAGATAAACAAATGGGGAGCCTCTGGATAAACACTTAAAAGTCATACTTTTTGGAGGAGACAATAGAGCAGAAAATAAAAATAACCCGAAACATTGAGAGTGGTCGACATAAGTCTGCCCTAAATAACCCTTTGACGTGAACATGTCCCCTGTCATTCTCTCCTCCAGCCCCATCCGTTCCCTCTCCAGCTCCCCCGCCCCCTCCGCCACACCCAGGGAAGAGCACACTCAGCTTCCTCACTCAAACCAAGTCCATAAAAGTACTCAGCTATGACTTTAGGTATAAAAATGTTATTATTTAAACACATTCATATAATTATTTGCAGGCCTAAATTTTGTTTTAGGTACTTAAAACATTTTAAAGAAATATGAGAAAGCATTTTTAATATTTTAATATAACAATCTGAAAAAATGATAAAAGATAGAAAAGTATAACCATCACCAGAAATATAAACAATCACACACACACAAAAAAACCTTTATTTGAATGTTCATCACACACATTTCAAATTCCAAAGCCCTCCTAATAGCCACTTGTTAGTGATGCAAAATAATTATTCACGTTATCCAAACCGACCTCGGTGCCAGCCATGGGGCGTCTAAGGAAACCAGAGCCTCTGCAGCCCTGTGTCCGCCGCGCGTCCTCACTGTCCACTGCTCTACCAGACCTCCCGCCTTCACGCAACCCTGTGCTGTCAACACAACTGGCCGGCTGTATCTTCCACTCCGGCTCCCCTCCTCTCAGAGCCCCAATCCCACCTACAGACTCACTGAAGCAGATGCCGCCAAGACCATCAGTGACCCTCATTCCCAAACCCAACGGGCCTTTGTGTTTTAACACTGGAAACCCCTCCTGTCATGACAGGTTTTCTAATACCAGTCCTGCCTGCTTCTCTTTTTACCTACTCAGAGGTTCCTTCTCATCCTGTTCTTATTGCGGAACTGCCCACGCATACAGCAAAGTAGAGAGAACATTACGATAACCCCCACATAGCTGGCACGTCACTTCAACAATGACCAACATAGGGCCAATCCTGTGTGACCCAGAACCTCTGGTGACCCCTCCCCATACAACCAGAAACTATGTATATAATTTGTTTTCATGAAATATCCATTCAGTGATCCAATTTTCCCAGTCATCTCAAAAATGTCTTCTTTTCTTTTGCTTTTTCAAATCGAGATTCAAACAAGATGCACAAATTGTTTAGATGTCATAAATTTCTTCTAGTCTAGAACAGTACTCACTTCCTTTCATTTTTCCTTCCTGAGATCAACTTGTTGAAAAAATTCAGTATCACCTATCCTGGAGCACTTTCTTCACTCTGGACTGTGCTGATGACCTGCTCGCAGGGCGTTCAACATGAACCTCTAAATTGGCGGTTGGATCTATAAGTCTAGAAGCTTGTTCAAGCTGAAGTCTGATTTTTGGACAAATTCAGAAATTGGTGACTGGTACTTCTTGTTCCTTCACCTCAGGAGGTAAAACGACTACTTGCCTACCTTTTTGTGTTAAAACTGATCAGGAGGTTCAGGAACTCCTGACCTGTCCCTTACAACCTGAGAGTTCTAGCTGTGCCGACGGCCAGTGTCTACAGCAGTGACTTGCAGCTGTGGCTGTGAGTACAGTCACGTAGACAGCTTTTAGAAATCCCCGTGCCATGCCCCCGTCATGACCAAGTCTGGGGTCAGGGCTGGTGACCGAGCGCCGGCGAGCTGGGGCGCAGAGCCGGGTGTGAAAACCGTGGTCTGTCGGGGTCTAGCACACCCGGTGCTGTTCTCTGCTGTGCACTGAAGGACAGTCACCACATCCCTGGTCTCCACCACCACATGCCAGCAGACGTCATCCCCCTCCCCCAGTCCAGTTGTGACAACCAAAAACATTTCCAGACATTACCAAATGTCTCCTGGGGGACAAAGTCACCCTCAGTGTCAAGTGCTGCTGTAGAGATTCTCGGTCTTCAGTGAGGGGAAGACTCACCCTGCAGTTTCCAGTTTAGTGGAACTGAGAGTGGCCCACACATTGGTATTTCTAGCAAGTTCCCCAGTGATGCTGACGCAGTGGTTACGCGGGGCTAGAACCACCATTTCATTAGGGTGGTGATTCTTGGCATTGGTTGCATGTTAGAATCAGCTGGAAAACCCTAACATCGCCAATGCACAGGCAATTCATCAACCAATTAAACCAGGATCTCTGGGTATATACTTGAAAAATAATGAATGACAAAGTATAGATGCGATCTTAGTACGTGTGTGTACATATAAAAATAGATATACACAAATATAGATTTTTAAGTCAATCAGAACTTTAATAAATATCTTGTCCTTGGCCATAAAGAAAACTTTATCAGATTATTTATTTATATATTTATTTAATTATCCTAACCTGAGGACATTTTTTCATCGATGTGAGGGAGAAGCATCGATTGGGAAGAGAGAGAAGTATCGATTTGTTGCCTCTCATATACCCCTAGACTAGGGCTCTAACCCACAACCTAGGTATGTTCCCTGACCAGGAATCAAACCCTCAACCCTCCGATTATGGGATGACATTCCAATCAAAAGAGCCACACCAGCCAGGGCTATCAGATTCTTTTAAAAGTAAGGATTTTGCCCTGGCTGGTGTGGCTCAGTGGACTGAGTTCCAGCCTATGAACTAAATGGTCGCTGGTTCGATTCCCAGTCAGGGCACATGCCTGGGTTATGGGCCAGGTCCCCGGTAGAGGGAGTGTGAGAGGCAACCACACACTGATGTTTACCTCTCTCCCCCCTTCTCTTCTCCTCTCTCTAAAAACAAACAAATAAAATCTTTTAAAAAAAGTAAAGATATTTACTCATCACATTTCCTGTTCATAATCAATAACATTTGGGAATACTAAAAAGATAAAAAAATAACTACTTGGAAAATTAAGAAACTCTCCTAAATGATTCATAGGTCAGAGAGGAAATAGAAATTAGACTCTGTGTAGAATACAATAAAGAGAAGAACACTTCATAACCATCCATGATTCACAGGGCAACTCTGAAAAGTTTTAGTCTGCAATCCCTTAATTATTAAAGAAGAAATAATGGAAACAGAGGAACTAAAGAACTGCCTAAAGAAATTAAATAGAGGACAAAATGCACCGAGAGAAAATAAAAAGATGAGATTCTCAGATGTGTTAAGTAAGATAAATAAGATACAGGAATGCAAATGACATATGCTTTTCTGTACAAAAATAAATCATTATAAATCTATCACATATATATGGGTGTGTATGTAGACATGCAGATATATCATATATATGAGGGTGGAGAAAGTTGTTGCATCAAGACCACCAAGCTATTAATATTTATTACATGGGGAAAGGTATGTATGGATTAAGCTTGAAAACAGAATAAAAAGGATCCTAAGATACAAAGAGCATAAACACATATTTATGTAAAATTGTATATATTATACATAATAAAGTATAAGGACAATTACTCAAATGTTTTACTCACTTTCATAACTTTTCCTTTATTGATTGAATCTAACAATGTTCTATTATTTATAAGTAGAAATTTAATAATATTTTTAATTTAGGAGGGAATATTTAAAACCAAAAATACAAAGGTAAAAGTTGGATCCCCCTTCCTACCTGAAATACTCTTGAATATTTGTCCCCAAAGGTACTTCTGCCTTTAATCATTTCTCTTGGCCATTTTTAAACTGCCTCCCTGGCAGGGGCAGGGTGCCCAATGACCAAGCACCACTCCCGTTGGGACAGGGGACCCTCTATCACGCAGGGTCCCCGAGCAAATCCGTGGCAACGCAGAGGGATGTCAACGGCCGACTCGTCGTGGCTTCACGGGCTACATCAGACTGGAAACGGGCCTCACAGGGTCACGATCCTGAGATACAACTCTTGGTCCATCCCCATGGCACGAAGGGCTTCCAGGCTCACGCAGGAATTGGCCCAGCTGGAGGGTACCCCTTTCCCAGGAAGGGACTGTCCGTTTTCCCTGCCTCCTGTCTCCAGTGTGAAATCAGAGTCCAGGAAAAACAACAGTTTAAAGACCAACTAGTTTACCAAATGGTCTTAGAAACCAAATTTAAACTCACACAACTAAACCATCATCTTCACTGTAAGTGCCCTTACGAACAGGACAACTAAGAAGGAAGACAGTGTCTCTAAGAAATTAGACAGACACTTGGCACCAGCGGCTCCAAGCTCATTATCCCCGGAGACTCAAACACAATTGGCAGAAAAGATGCCAAATTCAAGGGCAGGCCAGTGGATGTGAAGGCACACGGGCACCCACACCGCTCTCCATTTACTGGAGATTGTTTCTGACAAACCAGACAACAAGAAAAAGAAAATGTGCTAAAATAACTAGGCATTCATATTATTTGTAATAAAAAATTTGTAAAGTATCTCCTAGCTCATAAGTCAGAAAAAGTCTAAGTCACTGTAATTTCACCAAAAGGAGTTTTACAAAGATGCACACCTAAGAACCAACAGCACGTGCCTTGTTCAATGGCACCTTGACAATCCCAGGCTGGGGGCTCTAATTTACCTCCACGTAACACATCGTCCCCCATACAATATACCTCATTAAGGAGCTCCTATTTCAAGCTGATCACATAAAGCGGCCTGAAGAGGCCCCTTCCGGTTAGTCTTTTGACAAGTACAATTCTTCCTATTATGTCATCAACTCCACTCTTCATGAGTATTAACAGTATTGTCCATTGAAATAAAAGCAGTGAGTTATTTTTGTATTTTTGATCACAAAATACAATGTAAGTCTTATTCCAGTTGTCAAACCACTTATTTCTCAGTATAAAGAGGCCCCTTGACAGCCAGGACAGTTCATCCTCAGAACCTGCAGCCTAGAAAAAACCAGCATTAGCAGACTAATAAAAGCACAAGCCCTGACAAGTGCTTCACAGCCGACTGTTTGCCAGATAT